ACCTGAAACTCTGAGTTATTAACACCTGAAGCTCTGAGTTATTAACACCTGAAGCTCTGAGTTATTAATACCAGAAACTCTGAGTTATTAATACCTGAGACTCTGAGTTATTAACACCTGAAACTCTGAGTTATTAATATCTGAAACTCTGAGTTATTAACACCTGAAGCTCTGAGTTATTAATATCTGAAGCTCTGAGTTATTAATACCTGAAACTCTGAGTTATTAATATCTGAAACTCTGAGTTATTAACACCTGAAGCTCTGAGTTATTAATATCTGAAGCTCTGAGTTATTAATACCTGAAACTCTGAGTATTAATACCTGAAACTCTGAGTTATTAATACCTGAAGCTCTGAGTTATTAACACCTGAAGCTCTGAGTTATTAACACCTGAAGCTCTGAGTTATTAATATCTGAAACTTTGAGTTATTAATACCTGAAACTCTGAGTTATTAATATCTGAAGCTCTGAGTTATTAATACCTGAAGCTCTGAGTTATTAATACCTGAAACTCTGAGTTATTAATACCTGAAACTCTGAGTTATTAATACCTGAAGCTCTGAGTTATTAACACCTGAAGCTCTGAGTTATTAATACCTGAAACTCTGAGTTATTAATATCTGAAACTTTGAGTTATTAATACCTGAAACTCTGAGTTATTAATACCTGAAGCTCTGAGTTATTAATACCTGAAACTCTGAGTTATTAATACCTGAAGCTCTGAGTTATTAATACCTGAAGCTCTGAGTTATTAATACCTGAAACTCTGAGTTATTAATACCTGAAGCTCTGAGTTATTAATACCTGAAGCTCTAAGTTATTAATACCTGAAGCTCTGAGTTATTAATACCTGAAACTCTGAGTTATTAATATCTGAAGCTCTGAGTTATTAATACCTGAAATTCTGAGTTATTAACACCTGAAGCTCTGAGTTATTAATACCTGAAGCTCTGAGTTATTAATACCTGAAACTCTGAGTTATTAATACCTGAAACTTTGAGTTATTAACACCTGAAACTCTGAGTTATTAATATCTGAAACTCTGAGTTATTAACACCTGAAGCTCTGAGTTATTAATACCTGAAACTCTGAGTTATTAATACCTGAAGCTCTGAGATATTAACACCTGAAGTTCTGAGTTATTAATACCTGAAGCTCTGAGTTATTAATACCTGAAGCTCTGAGTTATTAATACCTGAAACTCTGAGTTATTAATACCTGAAGCTCTGAGTTATTAATACCTGAAGCTCTGAGTTATTAATACCTGAAGCTCTGAGTTATTAATACCTGAAACTCTGAGTTATTAATATCTGAAGCTCTGAGTTATTAATATCTGAAGCTCTGAGTTATTAACACCTGAAGCTCTGAGTTATTAATACCTGAAGCTCTGAGTTATTAATACCTGAAACTCTGAGTTATTAATACCTGAAGCTCTGAGTTATTAACACCTGAAACTCTGAGTTATTAACACCTGAAACTCTGAGTTATTAACACCTGAAGCTCTGAGTTATTAATACCTGAAACTCTGAGTTATTAATACCTGAAGCTCTGAGATATTAACACCTGAAGTTCTGAGTTATTAATACCTGAAGCTCTGAGTTATTAATACCTGAAGCTCTGAGTTATTAATACCTGAAACTCTGAGTTATTAATACCTGAAACTCTGAGTTATTAATACCTGAAACTCTGAGTTATTAATACCTGAAGCTCTGAGTTATTAATACCTGAAGCTCTGAGTTATTAATATCTGAAGCTCTGAGTTATTAATACCTGAAACTCTGAGTTATTAATACCTGAAGGTCTGAGTTATTAATAAGCTCTGAGTTATTAATACCTGAAGCTCTGAGTTATTAATACCTGAAACTCTGAGTTATTAATAAGCTCTGAGTTATTAATACCTGAAGCTCTGAGTTATTAACACCTGAAGCTCTGAGTTATTAACACCTGAAGCTCTGAGTTATTAATACCTGAAGCTCTGAGTTATTAATACCTGAAACTCTGAGTTATTAATACCTGAAGCTCTGAGTTATTAACACCTGAAACTCTGAGTTATTAATACCTGAAACTCTGAGTTATTAATACCTGAAGCTCTGAGTTATTAATACCTGAAGCTCTGAGTTATTAACACCTGAAGTTCTGAGTTATTAATACCTGAAGCTCTGAGTTATTAATACCTGAAACTCTGAGTTATTAATATCTGAAGCTTTGAGTTATTAATACCTGAAGCTCTGAGTTATTAATACCTTAAAACTCTGAGTTATTAATACCTGAAACTCTGAGTTATTAATACCTGAAACTCTGAGTTATTAATACCTGAAGCTTTGAGTTATTAATACCTGAAACTCTGAGTTATTAATATCTGAAGCTCTGAGTTATTAATACCTGAAGTTCTGAGTTATTAATACCTGAAACTCTGAGTTATTAATACCTGAAGCTCTGAGTTATTAATATGTGATGCTCTGAGTTATTAATACCTGAAACTCTGAGTTATTAATACCTGAAACTCTGAGTTATTAATATGTGAAACTCTGAGTTATTAATATTTGAAGCTCTGAGTTATTAATACCTGAAACTCTGAGTTATTAATACCTGAAGCTCTGAGTTATTAATACCTGAAGCTCTGAGTTATTAATACCTGAAGCTCTGAGTTATTAATACCTGAAACTCTGAGTTATTAATATCTGAAGCTCTGAGTTATTAATTCCTGAAGCTCTGAGTTATTAATACCTTAAAACTCTGAGTTATTAATACCTGAAGCTTTGAGTTATTAATACCTGAACCTCTGAGTTATTAATATCTGAAGCTCTGAGTTATTAATACCTGAAACTCTGAGTTATTAATACCTGAAACTCTGAGTTATTAATACCTGAAGCTCTGAGTTATTAATACCTGAAACTCTGAGTTATTAATACCTGAAGCTCTGAGTTATTAATACCTGAAACTCTGAGTTATTAATACCTGAAGCTCTGAGTTATTAATACCTGAAGCTCTGAGTTATTAATACCTGAAACTCTGAGTTATTAATATCTGAAGCTCTGAGTTATTAATATCTGAAGCTCTGAGTTATTAATACCTTAAAACTCTGAGTTATTAATACCTGAAGCTTTGAGTTATTAATACCTGAACCTCTGAGTTATTAATATCTGAAGTTCTGAGTTATTAATACCTGAAGTTCTGAGTTATTAATACCTGAAGCTTTGAGTTATTAATATCTGAAGTTCTGAGTTATTAATACCTGAAACTCTGAGTTATTAATACCTGAAGCTCTGAGTTATTAATACCTGAAACTCTGAGTTATTAATACCTGAAGCTCTGAGTTATTAATACCTGAAGCTCTGAGTTATTAATATCTGAAGCTCTGAGTTATTAATACCTGAAGCTCTGAGTTATTAATACCTGAAACTCTGAGTTATTAATATCTGAAGCTCTGAGTTATTAATAACTTAAGCTCTGAGTTATTAATAAGCTCTGAGTTATTAATACCTGAAGCTCTGAGTTATTAATATCTGAAGCTCTGAGTTATTAATATCTGAAGTTCTGAGTTATTAATACCTGAAGTTCTGAGTTATTAATACCTGAAGCTTTGAGTTATTAATATCTGAAGCTCTGAGTTATTAACACCTGAAGCTCTGAGTTATTAATACCTGAAACTCTGAGTTATTAATACCTGAAGTTCTGAGTTATTAATACCTGAAGCTTTGAGTTATTAATATCTGAAGCTCTGAGTTATTAATACCTGAAACTCTGAGTTATTAATACCTGAAGCTTTGAGTTATTAATACCTGAAACTCTGAGTTATTAATATCTGAAGCTCTGAGTTATTAATACCTGAAGTTCTGAGTTATTAATACCTGAAGTTCTGAGTTATTAATACCTGAAGCTTTGAGTTATTAATATCTGAAGTTCTGAGTTATTAATACCTGAAGCTTTGAGTTATTAATATCTGAAGCTCTGAGTTATTAACACCTGAAGCTCTGAGTTATTAATACCTGAAACTCTGAGTTATTAATACCTGAAGTTCTGAGTTATTAATACCTGAAGCTTTGAGTTATTAATATCTGAAGTTCTGAGTTATTAATACCTGAAGCTTTGAGTTATTAATATCTCAAGCTCTGAGTTATTAATACCTGAAGTTCTGAGTTATTAATACCTGAAACTCTGAGTTATTAATATCTGAAGTTCTGAGTTATTAATACCTGAAGCTCTGAGTTATTAATACCTGAAGCTTTGAGTTATTAATATCTGAAGCTCTGAGTTATTAACACCTGAAGCTCTGAGTTATTAATAACTTAAACTCTGAGTTATTAATACCTGAAGCTCTGAGTTATTAATACCTGAAACTCTGAGTTATTAATACCTGAAGTTCTGAGTTATTAACACCTGAAGCTCTGAGTTATTAATACCTGAAGCTCTGAGTTATTAACACCTGAAGCTCTGAGTTATTAATACCTGAAACTCTGAGTTATTAATACCTGAAGTTCTGAGTTATTAATACCTGAAGCTTTGAGTTATTAATATCTGAAGTTCTGAGTTATTAATACCTGAAGCTTTGAGTTATTAATATCTGAAGCTCTGAGTTATTAACACCTGAAGCTCTGAGTTATTAATAACTTAAACTCTGAGTTATTAACACCTGAAGCTCTGAGTTATTAATACCTGAAGTTCTGAGTTATTAATACCTGAAGCTTTGAGTTATTAATACCTGAAACTCTGAGTTATTAATACCTGAAGCTCTGAGTTATTAATACCTGAAGCTCTGAGTTATTAATACCTGAAACTCTGAGTTATTAATACCTGAAGCTCTGAGTTATTAATACCTGAAGTTCTGAGTTATTAATATCTGAAACTCTGAGTTATTAATACCTGAAGCTCTGAGTTATTAATACCTGAAACTCTGAGTCATTAATACCTGAAGCTCTGAGTTATTAATACCTGAAGCTCTGAGTTATTAATACCTGAAGTTCTGAGTTATTAATGTTGAAGTTCAAAGAAGTTGAATCACTTCAATGTTTCAGGCTTTTATTCATCATAATACTGGAAAACATAACAAAATAAACACTTTATAAAAAAGCACAAACATGTAAACCTGAGAAACACATTGAGGTCAGAATAAATACAAACAGAAAAACTCAATAAAATATTCATATGATGATCAGATTATTCTTCATGTTTCCAACATTTTTCTTTCTCTTGCTGCAACATGGATCCTGATGAAGCTTCATGTCTGCAGACATTCAGGATTTTCCTCAGATTATCACCAAATGACCAGGAAACACTTTTCTGCTCCTCAGATTAAAGGTGAGGATGGATCCACTGATGTGAAATGGATCAATAACAAACGGCCCAAAATCAGCTGATGCTGCTGGGACTGACGCATCATTTAAATCACCAAGCTGGACGCATCTGAGAAAGATTTTACTGATGGAAGTTCTGCAGATTATAATCCAGAGACATGGATTATGGTCCATTTCACATCAGTGGATGTCAGGCCTGTATATGAGTGACATCATGATTGATCAGATCAGGAAGTTGATCAGCTGTGATGTTGAAACAGAGAAAACAAACTGCAGGAGGAAATCAGTTCATGATGATGGATTAGAAAAGCAGCAATAATCTGATGCAAATCATGTTATGTTTACAGAATTAAGGCGTTGATTGATCTACAGATCAGCTGGAGGATCTGAGGGTTTCTTCCTGAAACAAGCAGATTGTTTCTTATACATCAGAAATAAAACAGCAGCAGCAAAAACCAGCAGAGATGAAATCAGACCAACTATCAGTCCGATGGATCCATCCTGGTTTCCTGAGTTCTTGTCTCCTGCAGACAAAGACGGAACTAGAATCAGTGAAACAAATGATCCCAGGTGTTTCTGAGATCCAGAACCAGGAAGGTGCTGGTTCTGATCCAGAGTTAAAGAGACTCACCTGGAGGAGGATGAAGGGAAACATGCAGCTTGATGGTTCTGATCAGTTCAGGATCCAGGCTTCCTTGATTTCGAACTCGACATTCATATGTTCCATTATCGCTGGTCGTCACGTTCATCACAACCAGAGACACGTTTCCATCCTTCATCTGTCTGTCTGCCAGATCCACTCGGTTCTTGTAAGATCGGTGCTGGACAAATGGAACAATCCGACCGTTTTGAACACAAGAACAAATTCATCCCCCAGATCGGTTCTGCTCCACTCCACAGCTACAGGATTGTTCCCAGTAGTTGTTGTTGTTTTACAGTTCAGAGTGACGTTCTCTCCAGAATAACTGTGACGTCTGGAACAACAGAGAGGTCAAAGGTCAAAGAGGATTGTATACTTCCATGGCAGGTTAAAATGCTTCACCAAGTCACTTCAGTGGTGAACAGTCACTGAGATCAACTTAGTGACTGACGACACGTTGATCCACTTTCCAGACCCTGGAGCTTCATGTTCAGTGACTGGTGACAGATTAATGTCTGTTTCACTGGTTCTGCTGCAGCCGGCTCTAGAACCACAGCATGTTCAACATGTTGGCCTAAATATGATCTAATTCTCCTGTGAACTAAACATACAGAAAACTCATAATTACTTATATTGTCATTATTAACAGCTGGGTTGATGACATCATCTGGAGTCTACAGAGTAACAGGAAGGCTAATTTTACCCAGTAGTTGTTGATCATGTTGGTTTTGACTGGTGTCATTTTAGATATTGCCACACTGTGGCGCTATTGGCTGTAATTTAAAACTAACAATAAAGTGAATCTGGATCATGGAAACAAGAAGAGTGCAGTGAGAGAGCCGAACTTTCACAGGATCTATATTTGTGCTTTCAACATTTCTCTACAGAAGACTTTGTCATTTGTACGAGCAAAACTGGTTCAGTTTCTAACAGATGTTTGTTACCTAAACAAGCTAAAAATAAATCCTGTTTTTATCCACAAAGTACTTAAACCAACTGCAGTGTTTATTTACACACTGAAACCAGTAGAGTGGTAAAGGCAACCAGAAACTGGTAACCCCACCAACACTGCGCTGTGATCCCAACACAAACCATTTGATCTAAACTCGAATGTTTTCAGCTCATGAATCTAAAGGGGAAAAATGAATCAACAGTTTCCACTGGATTCATCAGATGAACCTGAAAGCAAACAATTTACCCAAAGCAGAGAAAAAACCTTTATTGTAGAGAAAAGGTTCATAAAGAAATGTAACACTAGCTTCTCTAATAAGTTAAACTAATTAACATCTCAAAGATAAAACTGTAAAACTGGAGCTTCAACAATTTGTTCAGTTAGTTTGTACCATAAGAAATAAAGGGAAGCAATGAACAGCAAAACTAAAGATTGATTTACTGAACATGATGGCTGAGAGAGGAAAGATGAAGGAGGAACCAATCAGAGCAAGTCAATCTGAGTACCGGGTCAGAACCAGAACATCTTATTGGATGTCAGGCTGCTGTTGATCCCAGCTGGCATGGAGACGAGATGTTCTAGATGTAGATCTGGATTCACATCTAGATGCAGATCTAGATTCTAGATCCAGATCTAGATATGGATGTAGATCTAGGATCTAGATGTGAATGATGCCTGACTGTCTGAGCTGTTAATCGGTCCAGATCTTCTTCACTTTCAGGCTTTAGCTGCATGAACTAGATTTAGACAAGAACCGTTTTCCTTTCACCCGGAAGTCAGAGCTCAGATCAGGGCGTGACGTCACCAGCAGATTGGTCTCAATGTTAGCTGGTTTTACAAACATTGAGGTTTTATCATGATTTATTGTTCTATTATGACTCTAATATAACCGGACTATAATGTCTCGCTTTGTGTTCAGCTGCTAGCAACGTCATCATCGCATCATCCGAGTTTCCTGATGGTCTTTTGTCTCTGGATCAACAGATTGTGAGAATCTTTTGTTAAGATGGAGGCGGATTAAAAACTCACCTTCAGCAGAGACAGAACCGATACTGAGAGTCCAGCAGAACCACACGATCATGAAACGACCCATTTCTACAGTCTGTATGTTAGACGTAACGGTTCATGGACGAAATGCGGAAGTCACGTGGTTCATGGAGCTGCTGATGCTGCTGGGACTGACGCAAACTGACGTAAACTGACATAAACTGACGTGAATAACAGTGACAAGAGTTACGGCACTGAACGAAACCGAACCATCAGAACCAACCCATCCGTTATACCAGGATGGATTCATATCGCGGGGCTGGAGCTTTATCATCTCCATGGACCAGCATGCAGCTGCAGGGCAGCACAGAAAGAAACATGGAGAGTTTTAGAAACCAATCAACATCAATGTTTCTCCATCAGGATCATTTGGGAGGAAACACTGAAGGAGACCATGCAAGGAGTTTATAAAGAAATGAAAATGTAATTTATTAAAATGTGCTAAAGAAATAAAACCTGGAAAAGGAATACCTGAGATGAGAACCAAATACATTAATGCAAAAACCACAAAATTCACACATTTAAAACATGCAAACTCCTTGAAAACAGACTGGGAATTGAACCCAGGACCTTCTCTGGCTGCAAGGCATCAGAGCCAGCTGCTCTACTGCAGTATATAATAATTTATATTTTCTTAAGAAAACTCTTTTTGGGGTGAATTTACAAAACAGTTGAATTGTGTATGTGAAAAACTTTCAAAGGTCCAAAACAGAACAAAAGACCTTTTTGGACTCAAACATTTATAACTTCATCACGTCTTTTTTGTCTCCAATGTTTTACTCAGCAAAATAAATTAGGTTGGAAATCAGATATTATATTTGTTGTCTTACATTTAGCCCTAATATTAACTTAACGCCCTGCGACAGACTGTTGACCTCTCCAGGTGACCCCGCCGCTCTGGAGAGGCAGGCAGCTACCGCCCCGTGGGGAACGTTAGGAAATGGATGGATGAACTTAACACTTTCATTAGTGAACCAGCAAGGCACTTAGTGAGAATCTGAAAGAGCCACTTATGAAATATCAAATATCAAACTATAACTGAAAGAAACTCTGACTCTATATTAATGTTATACTCTATATAATATGGCATTATGTGGCCTAAAGTATTTTCTCCAGGAATCAGGTTCAGTCACTTCCAGCTGAATAAATGAAGCATCTGGACATGTAGACAGTTTTACAGACATTAGTGAAATAATGTTTGGCTTGAGGATCTCAGTGAAATCCAGCCTGGACCTGACAAGACGCCACCGGGCAACAAAATCCAGTCGATACGAAATATTCCAGTTAACTGTGTTGGAAGAAAATCTTAGTATCTGTGAAAGACAGCAGCTCATGAAGTCATAGGCAGATGATGAATCTCATAGTGCAAAGAGTCACTCATACGGACCTCCAGTACTTGCCTGACTGCTTTATGCCAAGAGTAAAGTGTGGTGGAGGAAGGATCATGCTGTGGGCTGGTTTTTCAGGGATCCTTTCACTTGGCTCCAGTGAAAGGATCTCTGAATGCTTCAGTAAACCAAGACATTTTGGACGATTCCAGGATCCGAATTATGTAGGATGTTAAGATCAGAGGAATATCTTCGTTTTGCTCATATTTCCTCTGTTTCCCAGATCCATCAATCTCGCGTTGGCAGGGGAATATTAAAGAACAATCATACGACATCAGACGTCAGACATATAGAGCTTATCCAGAGAATTCAACGCATAAAAATGTTTATCAGCATTACATCCAGATTATCAAAAAGTCTGACAAGACAAAACAGAATTACCTGCAACGAGTTGAAAGAAACAAACAGAAATGCATTTCTGGGAATGCTCACTTGGGCACAAAGCAATTTGATCTTCTACTGTAAAAAACAGACCATTTTATAAGAATGTGTATTCACCTCATTTAAATATATGCATTAGGAGGTGTGTCTTTCCCTTGCAGGGCTGCTTCAATGTTAATTTATTACCCTGCTTGAGACTGCTAGAGCACCCTAAAGCAAATATATGGAGACTCCACCGGAGTTATCTTGTGCCAGTCTCCTCCTTTTACATTCCAGACCAGAATTTATGACCTGCAGCTAGACGCAATGGCCCTCTGTCTTAGTTATTGAACAAGATTTGTATTTCTCACAAAATCTAATGCCAAATAACAACTATAAGTTTGGATCTAAAGCTGCAGTTGTTGTCTATTTTAGAAAAGCTGTTTTAGAATACCTGAAATATTTTAAAAGTAAAATAGTTTCCTGATTCTATTGTATTTTCAGTAATATAATGCATGAAAAATAGTATGGTTAGAGACTAACTAATTCAAAAACATGTTGTTTAATGCTTAAGGAAATCTCTTAATACGTTTAATTATACTTTGGAGAAGACTTAAAAGTTTTAATGTTTCACTGAACTCTTGAACCAAAGAATTTATTGTTTTGATAGCAGATAGATTCCCTGTCTGCAGACTAGTTAAGGGAGCGCAGGTCTATCTATCTGCAAAACTCTCCTTAAAAATTTATGTAGGTTCAGAGAGTCAGCAGCTGTTTTTAGTTTGGATCTTTATGTCAGTCTACCCCAAATATTCATTGCTACATCTAATATTTTCATATGTCTAAAGGTTTAATGTCTCTGTAGTTATGCTAACTAGACTTTATATCTCAACAGGGAACAGTTTGGATCTGAACCCTTCCAACATGAGGAAGAGGAGTTCTAGCTGCAAGCGGTGGACCAGCGTCATATTGAACCTGATGGGTCAGGAATGGATCATTAAAGCTCCTGTGAGTCAAGGCAGGTCAGCCAAGACTTTTGGCAAAATTGTTTATTAACTAGACACATGGATAAACTTTGCTTCCCTGAAATGACCCAAAATATGAATTGTTATCCTCTGGATTCATCTGGAGCCAATATAGAAATACTGTATATGTAGTTACTGATATATCAGTTTCCTTTGGGCTCTGTGCTATATTACACACAGCTGAATAAATATTCATTTTACATTCAATAATTTGACTTTTTTGTGAATTTACCCAAAAAACAAGTTTCTCTAAATGAATATAAAACATTAGTGATAATATAATTCAAATGTTAAACACTGATTTTTTGATCGGTTCTTTGAAGTGAATGAACCTGAAGGTTGTTTCCGTTAATCCTTCACTATTTACATCACTTTACATCACTTTACGTCAGTCCCAGCAGCATCGCGACTT